GTGAATACAATAAAAAAACAATCATTAACATATTAATAAATAAATAAATAAATAAATAAAGAAGACAAAAATGATATAAACGAAACGAATAATATTAAATCGAAGGGATCCACAAGGATATTATCGATTTTGTTATTTGACAAAGTACATTGTCGTTCGTAAAATAAATCTACGAAAATATCAGCATCCAATAGCTTATATTCCTAACTCCTTACCCCCCACCCCCAACCCCAACCCCCGCTTTCCCCAACCCTTAACGCGTAGTCTTGAATTTTCGAACGTACTCGTCGTCTTTCCTACCAACCCCGAACCCAATGTCCTCCTACTCCTTCACCGACTCAACACGATTCCCCTCCCCTCCCCACCCCTCCCCATCCCTCCTCCTGCCACAACGATAAGAATGGGAAAGAAGGAAGTCTCTTTCTTTGTAGGACAGGAAGAAAACGTGACTCCCTGATTCGTGCAAGTCGCGTATCGCGACATATTGTGCTCGTTTTCTTTCTCCCACCCAAAAGTGGATTTTACAGAAAAATGTCACGAGAAAAAGAAAGATGAGAAAGAAGGATAGGAAGAAAAGATAGACGAACCAAGGGCTAAGGGGGTGGTTCGGATGATGGGTGGAAGAAAAGAGGAAGAAAAGAAGGGATAGAAAAGGGAGTTGGTTAGAGGGTGAAAGGATGGATAGGTGAGTGGGTGGAAGAGGATAAGAAGAAGAGGTGGAAAGGAAGGGAGAAAGAGGGTGGGTGGGGGGGGGTTAGACGTATAGATCGGAATATGTATGAACCGACCTACCGTGAGATCGTGTTTTCCGGAATCCTTGCATCTGAGTTGCATCTGAGTTGCAACACAGCCCAACATTTCCGTCTTTCTCTTTCTCTCTTGCTGTATATATGTGTGTGTGTGTGTGTGTGTCTCTCCCTTCGTAAGCAGCTTTTAGGGGATTGCATGGGAAGAGCAACGAATAGACGAAAAAAAAATCGGAACCCGGTTAGACAAACGGAAAAAAATATTTTTCTTGACAATTTTCGGGACCCACAGGGTGAAAGACGAAATAATGAAAAACGAAAAATACATAATTTTAAATTTGCAAATATGAATTAAAAAAAGGTATCATCGGTGCAAATAACGTTGTGTAAAAATACGAATAGTTAAACTCAATCATTCATCGTTTATCTGATATAATACGAATTTTGGTGGATTCGTTTTAAAAGAAAAAGAAAAAAAAAAATAAATAATATGATTTATGTATATTAATTTTTTATTGTAATAAAAAATTTGTTTTTCAATACATCATGATAATAAAATAAAATAAAATAGTTTAATTCGTTAGGGTATTTAATACGTTTGAATAGGTTAAACTCGAATTTAATCCTATAACGACAGGGAGTAGAAGCCGATAGTACAGAACGGACAATCGGATAATGAGTGTTCAACCGGTAATGAGCTTATTCGTAATTACGCACTACGTTGGCTACTATTGCACATGGAATAATAGTTATTCGACGATCATAGCCAGCTAACGCGACACTTCGGCCAATAATGATAATCGATTATGTCAAACTCTCTCTCTCTCTCTCTCTCTCTCTCATCGACACACGTTACACACACCGATTGTTATTCGCTAAATTTATTTATCTTACGATCCCCTATTATAATACCAATTAAATTTCGATCGTTGCCGTTGCCAATTAAAAGTCACCCATTAATTTATATATTTTTCTTTTTTTTATTAAAAGATAATAAGTTTCGAGAAATTTTGTAATATAGATATGATTAATAAATTATACAAAGTGTTTGAGATTTCATTCAAGTGATCAAACGATGATCAGTTTATATAATTTATGAAAAGTATTGGATACAAAGAAATTGTTTTTTAAAATCTATTATAAAATTTATAACACGCGAATTGTAAGTCATTTAATTTTCTCTTCAAACAATCTATATAAATATATCTCGTTTGATTTAATATATTTTTAAATATTTCAGTATTATTATAATTGAAGTTTTTCCATTTCCATTTGGTTATCTTATATTAAAAACTAAAAGAATATAAAACAAAATAAAAAAAACGTAATATATTCGATTATAAAAGTTTAATAAACTTTTCAAGTAAAATTAGCATTACCTGTAGTAATTCATTTTTCTCTCTCTCTCTCTTTTCTTTCCTTTTTTATTTTTTTATTATTATTACATTCTTTCTACTTTCATTTATCTTCTAACTATTTTCTTAAGAAAAAAAACAAAAAAAAAAGAAAGAAAAAAAAAAAAAATTCTTAATTCTTTTTTCCCCTCTATCTTATCTTGATCTTACTATCTTACTTATTCTTTTCTTTCTTGTTTTTTTGTTCTATCTCAACGGAAACGCGAACGTGAACGTGAACGTTTCGTTCTTTTACTCGAGACACGAGGGCAAAACTTTTAACGTAACTTTCTTACTATACCTTGCACCGACACATTTGCTATCTTCCTTTAACTAACACCACTTTCAAGAATAAAGATTTGCACCGAACTTTTAACATCATTCTACTTGTATCGTGATATAGCTTCTTAGATAATGGAACTTAGACCGATTATTATTATTACTATTATTATTAGAAGTAAAAGTTAGAAGAAGAATAAGAAGAAGACAGAACATGAAGAAGAAAATTAATTAGGTCGATCGTTAAATATTCATTTATTATTCCAAAGTTATATTATTTTTTTCAATCTTAACTCTTTAAACAAAACTTAGATTTATTTTTCAAATCACGTTATAATAATCGTTAAATCAAATATTAATCAAATCTCGACATTACAACAAAATGAATTTATTATTAAAAAAAAAAAAGTCTTCCTGTGTGTAAGTGTGTGTGTGTAAAATTTTAATTAAAAAAGTTTCAATATCGAAACAAATTTGTGCAAACCTGAGTAAAATCAATGGAACAAGAACCCATTCTCATTCCCGTTTGCAATTTGAAATAATTTCTATTATATTTAGAACAAAAGAAAAAAATAAATCTAAGAAAAAAAACAGAGTATTAAATATTTTCGTCATAATATATACGAAAGATGATAGATTTTTTTTTTTGAATTTTTCTATTATCGAATTCATTCGATAATATTCAATGAGAGACTCCACTTTCTAACGCTACGTAAGGTCACGAATTAAAAGACCAATCGCAAATTAGTATCAAGTGCAACCTGTTGCACCCTCGTTCTCATTCGTTTCGTTTCGTTTGAGTGAAAGAGAGAGATAGAGATAGAGATAGAGAGAGAGAGAGAGAGAGAGAAACGGACTTTGGTTTTAAAAGCTACGAGGATTGATTTTTCTCGAGAGATTACTCGACAGTACGTATCCAAACTCACCCCCCCCCCCTCTCTCTCCACCTACCCCCTCTTTCTCTTTCTCTCTTTGATTATCCTTTTTTTTATCTATCTATCTATCTATCTATCTATCTATCTGTCTATCCGTATATCCATTTGTTTTTTCCTTTCCTTTCCTTTCCTTTTTTGTATGTCTTTTTTTTTTCTGTATTTTTTTCTTTTTTTTTACATTCCTCTTACTATCACGTAGTGACGAGTAACGAGATGCTCGTTAGGCAACTAACGAATTGTTTGGACACAATCCAAACATGGGGCTCAAGCAAATTTGATTAATATATTTTTTATCATTAGAGATAGCGAATCTCTAATCATTTTTACTCTTTGGAAAATTCTAATCACCTCTTTTCTTTTTTTGGTTTTGTTATTTTTAACCCTTTGACTGTTATGGACGCATATATGCGTTTGGTAAAATGTTGCAAGCGTGGTTTATCATCGACACATATAACGTGATTTGTCAATATTAATGTAATATTGGTTTTGCGTATTGATTATTGTTGTTTATCTTATCACATGAAAATTGTATTAAGTAACAAAAACTTTCATTATTAATTATATAATTTATTATTAGAGAATTTGGTGTGTTAATAATATCAATCAATGGAAACAGTCGCACTAATAATAAACTATTTTGTCTTTAGAAAACACTACAGTTAAAAGTATTCAGCACTCAAAGGGTTAATTAACACTAAACGTACCGAAATTTAATATATATCTATTTCTACGTGAGGTAAAAAAATATTATAATTCTATTTTCAGATAGAGAATGAGAATTTTTTGTCAATTGGATAATGAACAATATATACCTTTTTTTGATTTATAAATGAATAATGTACATTTCACCGAATTGTTTACAAATTACATTATCCGGTCATTTGACCGCTCATGATATGGTACGTTTAATGTTAATATTCTAATTTTATAAAAAAAAAGAAGAAAAAATATAATACTAATGATATTGAATCAATTATTTTCGATCAATTTGATCATTTGTTACCGCTGACGTAATTAAAAATAATTAATGTAATCCTAATTTAAAGTCATTCATTAATTATTTATCATCATCTTTCGTTGAATATAAAAACAAAACAAAATTTATTAAATTTGATTTAATGTCACTAATTATTATAATTACTGCGGATAATATAATAAATCGATTAATTAATTATACGTATTATTGATATAGATGTATCTATTTAATTATATTCCCCCGTATCATCGATCGGGTATATTATATATATTCGATCTAATTAATATAAATCGTTTAAATTAATTAATGAATATAATATCGACGTAAATATCAAATTGTGTACAATAATTGTTATTAGAATTAACAATTTTTATAAACTTCTACGAAACGAAGCATGTCTCGTCAAATCGTTCGGAAAATAAAACGAAATAAATCCGATCAAAAAATGTTGATTTTTTGATTCGTCGTTTTTAGAAGAAAAAAAACAGAAAAAAACCTACTCGACAAATCGTAATGCAATAACGTTTTAACCCTTTGCACTTTCAAATTATACTCCACTTTGGTTACCATGAGTTTCCAACGTTTTTTAATGTTTTATTTGACAATTTAAAATGTGTAAAAATGGGAAGAAACGCAAATTCAATTAAATACTAGTGTTGTTTTTCATTTACACTATCATTGTATTTTGTTATTATCAATGGGTAGGACATCTCTTGAGATAAAAACAATTTACGTCCAAACCGTATCTACGTTTATAAAATGTCAATTGATTTTAGACGTATAAAGTAAAATTTTGCTAATCGATAAAAAACAATTAACTAATAGTAAGTGTCTCGATGTATAAATGAAATTACTTTCCGAACGATTCAATATAATATATATTACAGTATAATATACTGTATAGTATATTAGTTATAAATATACAGTTATAGTATATATATATTACCGCAAAAGACCGAAGTTGTTTAATGTCAAGATTCACATGGTGAATTGTTAACATATACCAAATACATCAGTGAAAGATCGAACATTTAGGTTTATTCTTATACTTCCATTAATATTTCGGACATATACCAAACGGTCATGTGAATATTGACATTATCTAATTTCGGTTTCTCACAGTGTGGTACTATTTATATAAATTGAAATAATTCTAGAATAGATAAATAATCATTCTATTCGACATATGTCCTTATCACTCGTATATAACTATCTTATTTAGTACATAACGTTCAGAAGTAACGTTCTTTTATCTACATTTCGATAGGAATGGAAGGATCGATAAAGAATTTTTATTCGGGTGTATGTTATACACGTCCTAGTTCTATTACGCTCGTCGGAGCACTATATCGATTAGCACTACCGGGTGTCTACGATATACACACTCACTCGTACACACGTATATTCATATATATATATGTTTTGTGTAAACCTGGTGTTGCTGTTGGTACTGCAATTGGAACGAGAGATTCTTCTCCCTCGACGAGAATGAATAAGAGGGAAAGAGATAGACTCACGATAAACACACAAAACGATCCTGACCAGTACTCTACGATTTATTACACACGCGTGAATATTAAACGGAATATCGAACGTTTATCATCCTACATAACATATCTTTCATACACACATACACATATATATATATATAGATGTTTCTATCTTTTTTACCATTTTTTACACGTTTACATAATCCTAAATCGAGAAATTCTTTTATCTCGATAAATGAATAAAAAACTTAATTAACATAAAATATTTTTACTATTGCGTTACCGATTTCAAATGTGTTATATAATCTAAACGATCGTATTTTTTTTATAATTAACATCCTGAGGATTAACAATAAACATTCCTTCCGCATAAGGACTAGATGATTTAGTTTTAACCAGATGAAATCCTTTAAATTTTCTATCAACTCGATCCCCAGCTAAAACAGCCGGATATCTTGGTGGGCACAGACCCAAAAGGTAGGAAAAAAAACCCGGACAAGGCCAAGCCCAAAAACCATTATTCGAGTTAATGGATTCGGCAAAATATTCTGCAGATCGATGATGATTACAACCAAACGGATTTCGGTTTTCCCAACAACCGGGTTGATTAATACCACCGTTCATGTAAAAATCAATATGACCGCATGGCTCAACTTTGCCTTGAATAAAAGCATTAGTATGATAAACGTCAACGAAATTAGCATCGGTAGGATCTAATTTGTCTTGTGCACTAACTGTTACGAATAACGGCATTGCTGGATCCAATCCAGTTATCCTGTCCAATTGATAAGGTTTAAGATAATTAGCTGAGAATGCAGGCACGTGTGCGCCCAAACTGAACCCAATGACGTGTAAATCCTTGGCACCGTGAAACTCTAATCTTCGTATTAATTGTGCGAGACATTCACCGACGTGTTGAACATTGTGAACAGCTATCGGATAACATGGTCCAACAGCTAACCTATGCCAATCGATAGCAATCAAATTGTATTCGCCCTTTTTCAAATATTCATCTCTAACATCGATCAAACTACTCAATTGCATATCAGAATTATAACCGTGAACTATGATCTTCGTTGGATTAGAAGAATCGAAGTTAGTGTCGTCTAAATTCGAATCGGTATCTGATACAACTATACGTTGTCCTTTATATAGATTTTTTCTAGTATATAAAAAGAACGTCACTTCGTCGTCTGGACAGGTTTGATTGGTGTTCACTAAACAAGGTCCTATGAAGTAATCCTTACTAATGTCATTGTCAACGTTACCGATCACTATATTGTTACTATCTTGGACAGCATCGATCTTATTTATTGACAAGATTAAACAAAATACGATAGTTGTTAACAATCTGTTTATCGGATTATAACTATTTCTATTTCTTGTCGTATTAATAATAGTCGTATTCTCGTGAGACGTCATCTTCCAAGATTTTCTTCTCATTGATCCAAGTTTTCTCAAACTTGAGAAAAAGTAGTAGAAGAAGAAGAAGAGGAAGAAAAAGCTGCTGCTGCTGCTGCTGCTGTTAATACTGTTGAAGACTTCTCTAGTTATATATCCTCCTCCTTCTTCGTTAATGTTGTTTTTGTTCTTTTTCTCCTCTTCCTCTTCCTCTTCCACCTTCTCCTTATTATTTTTAGCTTGATCTTTCTTCTTATTCTTCGTGTCGTCCTCTTTGAAGTGTAATAAGTGGAACAGAAATAGTAGCAAGTGTAGAACTTTGTCGTACGAGCTTCGCGACGAAACTGTCCACAGTGAAACGTGTTGCTTGTAGCTGCTCAGGGAAACTTCACGATGGATAAGCACGTATCGAGCGCACCTCCACCACGAGCTTCGAATCCCTAAAGAGAGGTATAACAACACACCGATACCGAGACATCTACGATTTTTTAAAAGGACGACGGTCGAACCGATCAGTTTATATGTGTTTGTTTGTTTGTTGTGTGTATGTGTATATACAGTGCTCAACAAAATAAATTATTGAATTCAATCATAAGATTGTAATCTTATTTATATTTATCAGTGAATCTATTAAATATATGATTTATTGTTTTATATATATATATTTTATTTGGCGTATATATAGATTGATTTGACGTATAATAATATTCTATTGTTCTTTTTTGTTTTTTTTTTTTATTAAATTAAATTAATTCAAAGTAGTTTGTAATTATAAGAACTTATGCTTTTTATGTATATTTTTAATTGACTTTAAATGTAACTATCGAATAGCAAGTTTAAGTATACTGCATAGTGATTGAGTAAGCTAATATTTTTTTTAGTATGCATTTGTTTTTAACTATTAATTATTTTTGTTAAAATATTTAAATATATATATATATATAAAAACACATTAAAAATAATTGTAATTTATGCCAATAACACAATTCGTCACTGTATATACATACTTCATAAATATAATACATACATAAATATTTGAATCTATAAGGTGATTCGATTATAATTATTCAAATTTATATTTTTGTACAAAAAAAAAAAAAGAAAAAAACACAAATTTATTTAACTAAACATACATTTTAAATAAATAAAATCTATTGAAAAACTACAAATTCATATCGAGACTAATAATATAATCAAATTCTTATCATATATCTAATATATGATAAGATAATATATCTTATAGATAAGATAAGATTTCTTATCTTTGAATTAATTTTCATATAAACTATATTGAAAACATATTAACGTTTAATATAACATATCAAATAATAATTGAATCACCCTATATATGAACTTCCATATACACTGTGATACGTAATGCGTGAAAGTGACGTATGTGTGAGTATGATCATATACGTCTCTTGGTGGATACTAACTATAATGTAAGATAGTATAGTTCGATTAATGCACACGATGTATAGCACAATTGACAATGATTATGACCGTGACAGTATGAACAGTAAATTAATTCTTGGAATTGTTATTCTACCAACGTTGACAAATAGGATGTTTAAAAAAATACTATTACGTTGAAATTGATCGTTTTTCTTTGTTTGTTTTTAAATGACGATCGATCGGAGGAAGAAAAAATTCTGAAAAAAAAATATAAAAAAAAAATAAACGAAGTAAGAAACAATGAAGGGGGGAAAAAAAATGTTATTAGCGGCCAAGAATGAATCCTCGTTACGTTTAACGATCCGTTTCATTTCCTCCGTTCCCGTTTGTAGATCGAAATTGGTGCGGTTACGAAATCGCTGGTTGGAAATGGTAATGAGATGCATTTGAAAGAGCGTTTGCGGTTAGAAAGAGAGTAGTCGCACTAGTGAACTGGCCAATTAGAAGTCGATGCCTTTGATTTACACTGCGGACAAGACAATCTCGTTCGCGTGACTAACTATACTAACATCGAAGCTTGCTTTGAATAATGCGATAACTATTTTACTTTCCTTAGATATGTTTTCCAAGTGTTATATACACGTGTTAATAGCTATATATGTTCAAAAAACAAACTAAACAAAAAATTGTTCCTTTGGTAGAAAGAAAAGTTCACTTGTTTATAAATAATAATTATAATTTTATTCATCAAATCATATCCCGAATTCTTTTCTAGAGAGAAAAACTCTTTAAATGAATTTGTTTATATTAAATTGTTTATAACAATATGTTTATTTGTTTATATTAAATTGTTTATAACAATGCGTTTAAAAAATGGAGAATAATTTACCTTTTAATACAGTGTTTTTATCAAGTCTCTACGACTATTAGTTCCATAGATATCCCCACGTAAATTAAAGATGTGAATTGTTTATTTAATAATAAAAAAGTAATTTTTGTTAGTAACTATGTATCAATTTACGTCATTTTATTAATCGATCACACGATCTGAATACTTATTCTATCAAAATAGGATGAATATAGTTTGAAAGAATTTACTTCACATAATTGTTTATAACAAATTGATAATTAATTATTAAAAATATGTTTAAAACGTAGAGAATGTTTTGACCTTTAAAATGGTGTATTAATCAAGTCTCTACGATTTTTAGTTTTCGAAATATTATTATGTAAATGAAATAGATTTACGTTGACCCACTGACCTACATAATTTCATTCAAAGTGTGTCAATGACCCAGTGACCTATATAAATTCCAAGAATTTACGCACGCTTATTACTACTACTATTACTACGCGAACAAATGTTGAATGAATTATAAATGAAAATCTTTTTTCCCTTATATCTTCGGAACGGAAAATCGTAGAGACTTGATAGAAGCACCATTTTAAAGCATTAATTATCCTCTATTTGTTTAAACAATTCAATTATATTGTTATAATAAAATCAATTTTGTTAATAATTTTTAAAACATCAATCTTTTCTTATTTCATGCCTTTAAAACGAAAATTTGTAGGGACTTGATAGAAGCACCTTTTTAAAGCATTAATTATCCTCTATTTATTTAAATAAACCAATCACATTGTTATAATAAAATCAACATTGTTAATTTTTTTTCTAAATCGAATTTTCTTCTCTTCTTTCTTAACATTTCGTGATAAAGACATAATTAAAATGAAATTATTGGAATTTTTCTTATGATAACGTTAATTTTAATTTGTTTATTAAAAAAAAACAAAGTAAATCAGCAATATAAGAAAATCTAAAATTGGAAAAATCTTTTCTCGCAATAGGAATAAATCTACGATGAAATAATTAAAATCATTTATCAACATTTTGTCGGTTTCTCATTGTTCTTCTAATCATACGTCTAAACTATGTATAATTCGAGCCACATATAGGCTCATAATCCTGATTACCATGAAAGCTTATTATCGGGCAATTATCGACACACTTAATTGTGTACAATAGATCTATGCATACTACATTGATGATAATCCTAATTAAAGATGGGAGCTTTATCATTCGGCAATTAGTATCTATTCTTTTATACTAGATTAGAAAATAATTAGATGAAAAAAAAAACAAAAACATATTTAACAAGATAATTAATAAAACGACAGTTGTTATAAGAACGATAATAATTTTAATAAAAAGTTAAAAACTATTTGTTTTAAAAGTAAAAAATTCGTGAAAGTGAATATCAAATGAAAGAGAAAGAGAGAAAGAGACAGAAAGAGAGAGAGAGAGAGAGATAGAGAGAAACGTGCCGACAATGTTGGTGAAACTTGTCTCTGCGTTTTCATCGGCTAGGACAATGGTTCTAAACTTTCGCGGTGTTACGTTCGGTGAATTTCGATTAGTTTTAAAAACACTTTTACATTCAAACAAACGTCCTAATTACGTTCACTACCAAGTAATTATCACTATAAGAAAGTCTATTGACCTACATTATGGCACACTCGTTTTGAATTATTTTCGATTTTTATCAACAATCATAAATATCATTTTCTTTTTTTAAATCTTCACTTTTGTAAACAACACTTCCGACATATTTTTACGATCTATCGAACATTTATTTATCCACATATTATACATTTTTTCTTTTTTAAATCATGTTAGTGTAATATTCATATATTTTTCTCTTTTAAAAAATCATATTAATTATAATAAACTGTATAACTCTCGCATATATGTTTTTTTTATTCTTTTATAAATAAAATCTAGAAAAATAATATTACGAAAAATCATTAGAGATTTTTATTCGAATTAAATAGTAATTATTTGAAAAATATTTACGAGAGAAATGAAACGATATAAAAAAAAGAAAAAGAAAAAGTTAAACACGGAGTATAAAAAGTTTATAATACTTTCGCGTATGAATATCATATTCACAAAAGGAATTTTGTGAAACTCGAAGTTAGTTAATTGCCGTGCAACCAATGCTACCTAAATTATACGGTATTATTGCATTGTACAAACGAAAGATGCATCGATGCAAGTTAACGTGCGTTTCCGCATGCGAAATTATTTCGATACCGGTTTAATTGTGATTGTTAGAAGTCCATAATAATTTCGTTGATAACAATTCAAATCGAATTCGATTTAATAAAAGAAATTTTACATTAATAATTGCTCCGGCGAGAACCGTTTATTTGAAAATTATTCAACGATAATAAAAAAAAAAAAAAAAAAAAAAAAAAAAAAAAAAAAAAAAAAAAAAAAGAAAAGAAAAATAAAACAAACAAAAAGTAGAGACGCGTAAAAATAAATACGATGAAAATGGAAAGAATGAAAAAATGGGGTGGAAAGAAAAAAGAGAGAGAGAGAAAGAGACTGTGACGAAGAAATGTGACAACAAAATAATATTTAAATCTAATCATAAGTAACTTTCGTATTTTTTTTATCAGACATTCATTTTCTTTTCATTAAAATAACAACATTTATATTAATTTATTATATACGATATTCGCGCCATTAATTAACCCATTCGAGACGGTGATTTTTTTCGAATGGTCTCCAAGAGCGATTCATTTTTCTATTGACACCATTAATACGTAACAAAAGCAATGCAGAATTGTATTTGTCTGTATTTTACAGGTATTAATAATACAAGAAAAGTCTTACCTCGACGACTACTTTACTCAGAATAACTGATAATAACTCATTACTACTATTGCATAACTGGTGTGCACTCGGTCTCGAATGAGTAAAGTAAACTGCATCGGAAGTTACTTATGAGTATCAATCTAATACTAAAAGGACACTATGAAAAAAAAAAAAACAAGCCAAAACAGAAAAATACAAAATTTGTTTTACCATGATAACGGTGGGTGGTAACATGAAAATTCGTATCTCGTTCTCGAGGGTCCATCGATTTAGAAAAAAATAGAAAAAAGATATATATATATATAGAAATAGAAAAAGAAGGATAATAGGAGGAAAAACTAAAAGAAACGAAGAAGGAGAAAAAGAAAGAAGAAGAGGGGAGAGGGGTGTATAGAAGGAGAAGGAGAAGGAATAGAAGGGGTGGAGGGGGGTGGAAGAAGTTTGTAAAAGAAAGACGTACGACGTGACCGAAGCAAGCTGCCTCAAATGCCGAAGGGAACGTTTCGTGTAGATTAAAAGACAGCGCCCTACGGCCTTAATTTCCGTCCTACGAATAATTCAAGCATTTTCTATCTCTCTCTCTCTCTCTCTCTTTCTCTCTTTATGTCTTTCTGTCTTTCTCATACAAATATATACTCTCTTATTATTTTGTACTCTCTCATTCATTCACTCATTTACTCTCTCTCTCTCTCTCTTTCTCTAATTCTCTGTCATTTATTCTCTCTCTCTAATTCTCTTTCTCGTATTCTCGTACTCTCTCATTCTCTCACTTATTCACTCTCTTCTATATTATTTCATACTTTCTCACTTAACTTTTTTCATTCTTTTTTACACACACACACACACACACACACACACTTTTTCACACTCTCTTTTTCTTTTCTCTCTCTTTCTTCTTCTCATATCTTCTTTCTTACTTTTTTCTTTTTTATATATATTTATTTTAATTTTTATTCTTTTCGATTTTGTTTATACATTCTTTCTCCGTTCGTTATTTGTTTTTTTTTTCCCCTACTATATTTTGATGTATAAAAAAGGGAGATCAACAAGAATTTGATAAATCCGAGGGGTCAGAGGGGGGGGGGCGGTGGGAGGGATTTCTCTCTTCTCAAGTTTACACTCGTCGTAGACGCGAAATTCTAATAAATCTTGCAACGTCCTACCCGTTATCAAGTCTACTTCGCTCCATTAAATCGGAGTACTACGACACAGCAACTTTCTCAAACCCCCCCCCCCTGCCTCACCACTATATCTTCTTCCCTCTCTCTCTTTACTCATCTACAACCTTCCTCTCTCTTTATCTTAGGTAGATGAAACGTCGAATAGAAATTTGAAATTCTCCCGCATTAACCTCCGTAAACTTTGGTGACTTAACACGAATGACTAAACTTTTTTTTCTTAATTAATTCTAATTAAATTCTATCTCTCTCTTAGAATTTTTTATTAAATACACGCAATACGTATGTATATATATATATACATGAGAAGAATTATTATTATGATTTATCATGCAAATGATTCGAAATTAAATATGAAAATATTAACGAACGAATATATATTCAGATCTACCAATTCGTTCGTTCGTTTATTTATTTATTTATTTATTTATTTATTAATTAATATTAAAAAAATAATTGTTCATTAAAATAATTGTGTCAGACGGATCTCCTAATATTATATAAAAATGATATTGATGAAAAGTCAAAGGATCTTGGATTTGTATACTAACAAATTTTACAATGATTATCTTTGGTATATGCAAAACGAATAAATATTTGATTTTTAAGCCGAGAACACACACACCCACACACAAAACGTAAAGGTTCGAGCTATTATAGGGGTTTGGTGATCGCGATAGTGCGTCCTTTGATCATTGGCTCGACCCTCGTCCTCCTCTTCCCCAACCCACCATCCTCTTTTCTCTTTCGAAGTGAGGTGGTGGTAGTAATGGGTGGTGGTGATATTTTCCTCGTGGAAAAACAATATTGCGTATAAATCTTTACAAAACGAAACGTGCAAAACGAAATGTAACACGGGAAAGCAGCTTTTATGTTATAATCGTTGGAAAAATATGATTCATTTATCCAACATAATTGAAAATTGTATCAAACTCTATTGCGTAATTCCGCAATGCAAACAAATATCATACAATACGTCCACGTAAATATTTTTATTACGTACATTCGATCATAATAATAATAATAATAATAATTACTATTATTATTTTCTCATTTAAATTCATTCGTAAAGATTTTTACGCGCGTATAAAATAAAACAAAAAGAAAAAAAAAACCCTTTTTTTAAATTATCTAATATGTTTCGATGTTTTTAAACAAGCAAAATAAAATAAATACGAGCATAAATATACACACACACACACACACACACATAGATAGATATTTGTCTAAATTTTTGGTGTGTTAAAGTTAATGATTTTAATTTATTAAAGAAATATTTTGTATATTATCAACTATACACACATGTTACCTCTGTCAAATTATTAATTATTAAATTTATTTCCAAAATTTGGATAAAAATGTGTAATATACATTTTAATTAAATAAATTTAAAAGAATAGATGTGTACATTTATTCTCGATATGTGAAAGAAGGAGGAAACGAAAAAGAAAAAAAAACAATGAAATAGGACCGGACAATGAGAATGACGACGAGGACAACAACTCGCAACAATAATGACGACATAGAAAACATTGATCGCGCGGAGCGGTTCGGGTAAAACGGAGGGTGAATTTTCGTGACTTACATGGGAAGCTGACAGGGGGGTGAGTCTGAGCATTGTGCGCGTTATGGGGGTGCCTCGGGGTCGAGGCTCGTTGTCTACAAAAGCAGAAAACTGCTGCTGTAATCAGACCAGTCATAGACAGGAGCAAGAAAACGAAGGCAGCTGCGAACCAGGTCGTTTGCATGCCCAGGATCGTTGATGCCTCGGAATCTGAAACAAACAATTCATTTTTGTTAACAATTAAACTATTCATTAACAATGTTATTATATAGAAAAATGTTCGAGATCAATTGAATTTATCGAATATATTAAAAAATAAAGTTTTTATATATATAATTAATAAATATATATATATATTATATTAATGAAAACTTTTCTATATAAAAAAAAAGAAAAGAATATATAAATATATAATATATTACACGTATGTGGACGCGTATGTAATGTACGTCCGTAAGTTTCTATCGTATTGGAAATGAAATTTGAAATGAAATGAAATGAAACGAAATCAATCAAACATCGAATAGAAAAATATTTGTTTTCCCTTTTTGTTTTTTTTTTTTTAAATAAATTTGACTAGCAATTTTTCGTAGTTACAAAACAATGGTATTTCCTATTGGAAAATTTGTATTTTATATTTGTGTAACCCCATGTATTTTCTGACACTTCGTCGAAAGTTACAAGAGAACAACATACGTTCGTTCCTACGTTAGTTCGTTCGTACGTTCGTTCGTTCGTTCGTACGTTCTCGTTCGGTTGGTTTTCGATCAGATTTCCACGATTGAAATCCAATTCTTGCACACGCATACATACGAATCTAATGAGTTTTACCGATCGTTACACGAAACGACGAGAGATTTTCGTAGTAATCTCATTTTCCTGGGCATGTAGTACGAACTGGAATACGAGCCAACGTAAATGGAAGGTGAATATCTCCTTCGTATAAAAGGGAAAAAATGTAATTTTTCTGATCGTTCCAAGCAACGAGCTCTTTGCTTGACGCTAATGCACCGAGATAAACGATTAAATTTTCCTATGAGAATCTAACCGCAATACGGGAAATTGACTTGAACCGAATCTATCTAATGCATTTACACGTGTTTTCAACAAACAACTGTTACGAATTAAAAAAGTCATTCGAAAGGAGAATATACACATCCTATTTCTTTTATAAATCATACGTAACTTGTATAAAAGTAATCTTGTATAAAATTATAATTTAATGTGCTATTAAAAATTAATGAACAGACAAAAAAAAATATTCTACATTTATCGAACTGTGTAATATTTTGTTGTCCCTAAAAATATAATATATATATATATATATATATATATATATATATAGCAGAAAAATTTCGAATGTTATTATTATTATATAAATAAATATCTGCTTTAAATTTTCTTGAAAAAGAAATCAAAATGAAACGACAATAATTAAAAATTATGCCAATAATTCAAATAATTACAAATACTATTATATAAATATAATTTGAATGAATTTTACGTAATACATAATAGAAATGTGTATTTATTAAATGCATAGTAGTATAACGTAACACATAGATTTAAATAGTAAAAGAGAATGAATGAAAATGTTGAGAAACAAGTATATTGTATTTCGTTGGTCGATAATAGGATATAGTCTTTTTTTTTTCTCCCTGGGAAACTATAAACACGCAGGTTAGTTTCGTTATACGAAGAAAGATCGATGATATAACCTAGACGAGAAGGTACAACTGAGTACTGTGACACGAACTCACTTCGTGGTATTACATTTTGTAACGATTACGGAACACGAATGATACCGAAGCTTTTTCCCTTGTATATACGTTAAGGTAACTTTAATGTTTTATGACGTAAACATGGTTCGAATCTGGTCGATAGGAAAAAAGTGTAAACAGAGGTAGAAAAATAGAAGAGGAAGAAAGAACAAAAATGAAAGTGAGTAAGAGAGAGAGAGAGAGAGAGAGAGAGAGAGAGAGAGAGAGAGAGAGAGAGAAAGGATGGGAAATGAAGAATAAAAAATAATAAATAATAAATATATACGGAATAACAACAAAATTCTTTTCATTTTTCTACTTTTACGTAAAACAAAAAAAAATCAGTTCGTTAAAAATGACAGAATGGCATCTTCTTTCCGACGTTTCGTGTATAGATCTTTTCATATCAATTATTTTTTATTTTTTTTTTTAATTTTTATTCGTGTTATCTTAAAATTGAAAGAATGATATTACAATGATTAATGTTAGAACGTTTAATAATATGTTAGAAAAAATAATGTATTATATAATATTTTACTTATGTAAATTTAATTAGGAAAAATATACAAATTATTATATATATATATATATGAAATAACAATTGATTTAAATAGATTTCACAAACATAGAATGTAGAAATTTGTAACAAAGTTTATTATGAATTTGTAATTAAATTAAATGTTAACATATTACATATACATGCACACACAAACACATATATATATATATACGTGTGGGTGTAACATGCATTGTACAATATATAGATGTTACAATGAATGAAATTAAATAAAATCAAATATCCACATACGGTTGCAGGATACTCGAATAAATGAGATAAATTAAACATGATATCATATATTGATTATAAAAAAAAAAAATAAATAAAAAAATTAATTTAACAAACTTACTGGCACAGAGAGTGGAGGTTGCTTCATCGGAACCATCGCCACAATGATTGACACCGTCGCAAAGTAGATCCGTTTCTATGCAAAATTCGTTTTGAGTACAACGAAAATCCTTGCAGGTGTGTTCTGTAAGAAAAAACAAAAAAGAACAACGTACAAAATATTTTTCGTCCAAATGTTTATTCAATTTTTATTTGTATCTCTCCTCGTTTTAAGGAATGATTGAGTGAGTGAGTGAGTGAGTGAGTGACAGAGACAGAGAAAGAGAGAGAAAGAGAGAGAGAGAGAGAAGTAATGAGGAAGTGGTGTAAGGTGGGGTAAGAAAAAAAAAAGAAAAAAATATCACGGTTTGTCGACAGGTAGGGTAGTAGCTGCTACCCTCATTGAGGGGTCGCACAACCCCTCGACTCGAGGACTCTCTGTCAGGCGTCGAAGCTTGAATGATAGGCTAGTTTGAAAACGTGCACACTGTACTTTTGGATTAACGTTTTCTATAATACTGATTTTCGATTAGATATATAGAGATAATTTAAATGGATCAAACAGATAAGATAAGTAATATTTATATCAGCCTTTTTGTTTTTGTTTTTTTTTTTTTTT